GCGGATGGCGGAGAGGGACCAGTGCAGCCTGAGGGTGGGGAGGGGGCCAGGCTCCGATGGTGGAGGGGACTTAGCGCAGTCCAGAGGAGGGGACTTTACACAACATTTCACTCCAATTTAGACAATGAAACTGGTTAGACTTCCTTTCTGGTGTTGTTTTGTCTAAACTCTTGAATTCTTTTTCTTTGTTATCATATTCTCAGTTTACCTTCAAGGATTATCTATCAAAAGTTAAGCAATATTTTTGGAAAGAATTAGAGAAAAATTAACTACTTTAAATACAATGAATCCTACCTAGTCATAAGTCCAATCCCCTCAGGCGTACTAGTTGAAGGTTGCTGTAATTGTCCTTCCTCCCTTCGTTTTTGGAGCTCTTCAATAACAGGGCTTACTCCTAAGATCAACAAGGCACATCTGTGGATCACAGAGTTGCATGCAGCAGTGTACACATCTTGACCCTCAGGAAGATCTGTGCTAACTCTTCGTTCCTGTTGGGACTGAGGAGGCTGATCATCAACTCTAGTCCCATTTCCAGTGTTCATCCTATCTCGATCCCGACTGCGAGCTACTTCACGGGCTGATAGGAAACATTGAAATATTTCTGTAACATGCAACACAAAAACAAGGTCTTAACTTATAGGCAATGCTAAACAATTATAAAATAATCATAAATTTAGGCCAAACATTACCAATGGTAAGTGAAAAGTTTAACTATTTTTTCCTGACAGTAAAAAAGAATACATTAACAAGTACAGATCTACAAAAGAAGTTAACATAAATTACTTAGTCTAGCATTTAGAATGTTAAATTTAAAAATGAAGGGGATAATAAAATCTGACATGCTGCTCAACAATTTCTTCTACAGTGCACTGTGATTTAATCATTTAACAGGGTGCAAGAAAGGAAATGATCAAAATTCTTTCACTCTGCTGAATGCCATCAAAGAATCAGAAAAAGGCCAAGTCTACACTGGCGAGTTACCGCTCACTAAACCAGCTCCCAGCACTGTAGCTTCCGAGGTGTCCACACTGGCATAGCGCTTGGTGCACACTAGCTCTGCAGTTGTTGTGCTCTAGGTAAACCATCTCAGCAAGAAATGTAGAGCTTGCTAGTGTCTGAATAGAGCAGTGGGGTGCCAGCGTGGACACCGTGGTGTAGTACAGGCAGTCCCCGACTTACGCGGATCCGACTTATGTCAGATCCACACTTACGAACGGGGCTTTCTCGCCCCGGAGCTCGCAGGCAGCAATCCGCCACCTCGACCTCCGGGGCGAGAAAGCCCCGTTCGTAAGTGTGGATCTGACATAAGTCGGATCCGCGTAAGTCAGGGACTGCCTGTACAGGTAAATGCACACACAGAGCTCACAGCATGAGATGGGGAAGTTGCATACATGTGGTCTGACAGGCACTGATTATGACCTCCAATCCCATGCTGCACCAACAGTGGAGCACACATAGGAAATGGTAATAGAATCAAAAAAATTATTCAAGTGCAATTTTAATTTAGCAATTTGAAATACAGTAATACAAGTGCAAAAATTCATGTTCTCACAATGTTAATTGACACTGTAGATTAAACAGTAATTTGTACTTACTCTCTACTTTTAAAAATTATACCATGTGAGTTAACATTAATATGTTAAATCTTAAAATGTCTGCATTTCCTGTTTAATGCAGTGTTGAGGCTGTAACGTAAACGGGGGGGAGGGGGAGTTGTTTGGAGGGTTTTGCATTTAACACCCCCCCCTTTTAAAGAACCAACTCATTGCTGTGACTGATATTCAGGAACCATTCTCAAAATCAAGTCAAGAACATCACCTGTGGACTATTACTACAAGTTGGACCTCCAAAACCCAGATTCTCTTGTCCGGCAGGACCACAGATGTTCCTGGACCAGGGAGTCCTGGCTGGGAGCACCAGTGGCAAGAGGGCTGGAGACTTGGAGCCTGGCGGCACTAGGGCTGGGATTGGGGCCAGAGTCCCGGTAGCACAGCCGGGGTTGACTGGCCTGTGGTGCCCTCCCACAATGCTGGTTCTTGCCTCTCTGGTCATCTGTTTGACGTCTACTGCCCTGCTCTCAGGTGACTAACCCTCAGACCTGCCCCCTTCATTGCTCTGGAAATTTGAAAGTCCCTTTCTTGTTTGCTCAGCGACTCATTGTGAGTTCTCAATGCATCTTTCTAGCTGGCCATGCCTGCTCCAACCTCTAGGAGAGCCCCTGTTTGGAGCCATGCCAAGTTGCTGGACCTCATCACTGTACAGGGAGAGGAAGCTGTGCAGTTCTTGCTGAGCTCCAATCACAGAAATTAGGATACTTAGAGGCAGATCTTCAGACATATGACTGAAAGGGGCCATGACTGGGACATACTGCAGCGCGGGGTCAAAATGAAGGAGCAGCAAAATGCCTATCACAAGTCATGGGAAGCAAACCACCGTTCCAGTGCTGCGCCCATGAGCTGCTGGTTCTACAAAGAGCTGGATGACATTCCATACATGGATACTTCAGGGCTTCAGGAGCCATCCTACAGCAGACTGAGCCAGGAAGAGGAAATCATGGACAAGAATGCTGAGAGGGAGAGGTCCCAAGCCCAGAGGACAACTTAACATCCACAGATGCATGCAGTCAGGAGTTCTTTTGTAACCCCTATCAGGCGAGCCAGCTGCAGCAGTAAGAGGTTGTGGAGGATGTGCCAAGTAAGTGGGTTTGACTTCCAGAAGCACTCAAGTGAGTTGTGGGGTGTGGGAGGCTTGCAGAAAGGAAGCCTGAGTCTGTGTTTTGCTGCTGCTCAGATGCTGAACAGGTAGTTGATGCAATCTCTCACTTCATGGTAATCTGCCTCATAGATTTCATTAAAAGTGTCATGAAGCTGCTGGGCCACATGTCTGTGTAAATTTGCTGGCAAGGCTTGTGTGTTCACTGTCTTGCCGCTGTACCATTGGGGGTGGGAGGCCATCACTGCACAAAGACAAGCTGCATATGGGCCCAGATGGAACCTGCAGTCAACTAAAAGGCCCTCCTTTGCTTCCCTGCTCACTCTAAGTACTGAAATGTCTTCCAGGATGAACATAGCCTGTGGAAATTGAGAAGTACTGAAATGTCCTCCAGGATGAACATAGCCTGTGGAAATTGAGTGACCATTACCAAGAATCAGGAGCTCCTGAAGTGTTCTCCCCAAGTCACACCTCTTAGCCTATAGTACAGTACTGCACCAAACATTCCCCTGCCTCAATGGTGAGCTGACCATTGAGAGAGTCTTGTATCTTATGTGCGCTCACCCCTGGGCAGCCAGTCAGTGCTAGGTATGTCAACAGTACTTGTGTTTAAAATGGGCAATGCTGCATCTAGTACTAACAATGGGCCCTCTGAAGGCAAACTGCAACATGTTACAAAGACTTAACCTAGGGATGGCAGTCTGCACAGATAAGCTTTTGATTGACACGCTGACTAATCCCATTAACCCAATATATCCCTGTACAAGGCCCAATTCAGCAAAAAGTATCAAAATTCCTTCAACTTTGGCAATTTTCTTTGCAGGTCACATTTCAATTACCAAAGTTGAAGGAATTTTGACAATTTTCTTTGCAGGTCACATTTCAATTATTATAGATTATTTAGATCAGGAGTCACCAACACGTCGATCACGTTCAACTGGTTGATTCTGAAGCCTTAGCCAGTTAATTGTGATTGGTGGGCCAGCGCAGCAGGGCTCAGGCAGGCTGACTGCCAGGTGCAAGCTCATCTCTGCGCTCCCCTTGGATGAAGGGGAACAGCATGTCTTTGCAAGATGTCCTGCACCTGTGGTTCCTATGGGGTGTGTGTCTCATGTATGCATTTTCCCCCAGTTGCCCTGGTATGCCGCTGAGTCCAGAGCCACCTGAAGGGATGTCCTTGCTATAGTACAGCCCTCCTCTGACAGGCCTCTGAACTACTGCTGGGTGTCATGGGACAACAGCTCTTTATATTTGGAGAGTGCATCCCATGACTTAAAGGCATACAGACTGAGGATTACCTGCTGATTTGCGATCCTCAGCTGCAGGCCCCCTGCCAAGTAGACCTTTCTACAGAACCGGTCGATCTTTTTGGCCTCCTTCACATTCGGGTCAGAGGCCTGTTGACCTTGCCTCTCCTTTTTGTTGACAGCAGAGACCACAAGTGAGGAAGGATGGGGGTATAAGTATAGAAACTCACATCTCTTGGAAGGAATGAAGTACCCCCTCTCCATGCCCTTGGCCATCGGGGATTGGAAGCCAGAGTCTGCCACAAGTTTGTGTAGATGGACTGTAGAGTCTTTACAATTGGCACAGCTACTCTAGATGGTCCTTCTGGTGAAACGATGTCCACCATGGGGTCCTCTGGTTCCTGTATCTCCTCCATGGGGAGATTCACATTTTGGGTAGCTCTTGGTAAGTCCTATGGTTGACTGGAGCTGGACCAGCCATAGAGGTGCCCACCACCACTTCATCGCGGGGATGAGGATGAATAGGCCTGGGTGGCTCCACTGTCTCCCCCGAGTTCTGAAAGCTACTGGGTTCCATGACCCACATATGGTGCTATCTGGCATCTCAAGCTGGGTGGCCGAGCCCTGCGCTCAGGCGGTGGGCTATCGCATCGCAGTGGACGGGATTCTGTTGCAAAAGGTGCCTCTGAGTGGTGACGTGGGGATCGGGACCTGTGGCTTGTTGATGCAGTTGACCTAGGCTCACCCTGGGACCAATGATATGTCCAGGGGCATCCAGAAAGGCCACTGTATGCGGCCACTGCTGTTGCCATGGTGCTGGAGGGGTCCCATCCAATAAACCTCCTTCAAAAGCAGTTCAACACCACAACAGATTCAGACTGACTGTGATGATCATGGCAATGCTGCTAAGGCCAGTGCCACACAACGAGACCTCTTTGGCGACCTTGAGCAGTACCGAGAGAGTCTGGACCTCGGAAGCTGCCATGAGATCCTGGACCTCAACCTGGAATGGCAGATCAATCTCAGTGCTGGGCGTCAGTTGTCTGGTAACACCCTGGGGGTTGGTGTCGGTGGGGGAGAGCACTGCACCAGCGAAGGGGATCTGTCCAACGACGATGACCTGTCCCAGTGCCGTTCTGCAGACAGAGGTCTGCACAGCAGTGCCGACTTTCCCTTTAACAACCAGTATGGTCTCGGCAGTGGCAGTGACTCCTTGTGCTCCCTGCATGCTTTGGCCTCCAAGATATCTATGAGGTCTGGGCTGCCCCATAGGTGTTGGGTGCCTAAGGGGGAGTTCAGGACCTGCACTAGATTTCTCTCTCTCAGTATTTAGTTGCATGTCCGACTCGACAGTGTCGGTCCCCGTGCCAGAGTTGACGGCATGTGCTGGGCTTCTCACGCTGGGGTGTTCCAGCGTGGTCAGTCCTGTCTCCGTCAAGATTTATTGGGGGGAGGGAGGGAGGAAGCGGAAGGGATCTACCCTTATCCACCCTCCTGCTGCACAGTGCCGGTGAAGTGGATCTGTGCCTCGGTGCTGGGGTACCCGGCGCCAAAGCTCACTGGTGCTAGAATTCTTTGGCCGTGCTCATTTCCAGTACATTATCGCTCATAGAAGCCAGAGCATTCCACACCAAGCTGGCTC